AGCATGTGGCATGAAAAGCTCCTCAACTTGTGGTAGCCGGGAAACAAAGACACAAAACAGGAAGAGACCTGAGGGACTAGGCTCCAATGACATTTTGGAGGTTAAGCCCCTAATGACTACAGTCCTTCCATGAGGGTCTGCCTCCTAAATATTCCACCAACTGCCAGGAGTGCTGTGACCTTGGCACTGGTCCCTCAACGCACGGGCCTCTGGAGGGCACTTAGCCTAACAGCAGCAGGCCGCGACCTTAGCCCAAGACTTCACGAGGGGAAGCAATAGGCAATGACAATGCACACAGGTCCCCTCTGGACACTGCCACCTACACCCCCAGGGAAGCCATGGCCAGCCTTGCTAAGGAAGCACGTGGATGGAGACAGGGCCTTGTTTCTGTCCTTTGCCATGAGGGCTTCTGTTGGGTGTGCCAGCCTTCCCTGCTCACCTACAGCATTGTTCTACTCTGCTTGCCTAAGAAAGGGCCACAAGCTGGGCAGTTAAACAACAGAAATTTATTTTTCCACCACTCCAGAGATGAGAAGTCTGAGGTGCAGATGCAGGTAGCATTGGATTTTTCCCGGTCCCTTCCCCCAGTGCGTCATAGTGTGCCCATTTGTGTGTACGCGACCTAAACGAATCTTCTCAGGTTGACAGTTTGAAGTCACTTCATTTCACATGAATCCCCTGACATAGGCCCTAACCCCAGATACATTCACATTCTAGGGACACTTGGAGCCGAACACATGATTTTCAGTGGGGACTAATTCATCGCATACAGCTGTGATCTTATAAAATCCTCATTCTTTGCCAAAATATTCTTCCCCAGTACTCCTGAACCTCCAGAGAAATCTGCAAGAGGTTAACACACCCTGTTGCACCCTAAATATTCAGGGAAGTTAGTGCTTTTCCTAGGAAATGTCTGCCTTGCGCCAGGCAATGCTCACATTGAGGAAGACGCAGCTCACCCAGCAGTGGCTTCTCCTGTCCCAGGTCTCCAGCACGACACCAATCTGAACCTATGCCCGTCACAACCACCCCCTGGATGGCATAAAGTTGTCGCTAGTATTCACGGTTACTTTCCTACTCTTTGATTTCACACACAGTGTGGTGAGTGCTCACGGGAGGTAGTGAAAGCAACGCTCAGAGAGCACTGTGCTCCAGCAGAGGGACTTGGCGGAGATCGAGCCGGGTGGAACTGGGAGTCGGGCACAACCGGGACCTGCCACCGAGGTCCCCTCCTGAGCTCTGCTCTGGCCTTGCTGCACAGCCTGGTGGGTCCACATCCTGCAGGGCTTTGCCTGCGCTGTTTGAGCAGGAGGCCATCTGGATAGCAGTGTGGCCAGGAAGCAGTGCTCTTGCAGGAGAGAAAGAAGAATGGCCGAGGATCGGGGATCGTGGAGACAGGGGCGGTGATGTGCCTGGGACCTTTGGTGGGGAGGTGTGACTAGCGAGCAGGGCGGAAAGTGAGGAGAGGCAAGGAGGTGGGCATCAGAACAAAGCGATAGGACAAGCTCACATCCTCTCTGTGCGGTGTCTCCACGTGGAATGATTTCAGAACCTAGGGCAGAGGTATGGATTACATCCGGGCTCCTCAGCAGGGTCAGGGTCCTGACTACACCTAAGTGCTGCCACCAGACTGGGGGAGGAGCAGCCTGTGCTCCCCAGCAGACTCAACACACTGCAAAGCCCTCCTGGCCAGGCCCTGCCCTATTCTGCAGCGCCTCCCATGATTCAACTCAGAGCCTACACTGCAAGCCCCCGGCCCACCCACCACATGGGCTCTGCACTACTATGGGAGGACCCAACCAGCACCAGCCTTTCCCTGCTCTGTAAGGCTCCCCCCACTAATGCCACGCCACACCTCTACCAAGGCCTGCCCTTGTCCTCAGACTCCCTCCAGGCACCTTGGCCAGGGTCCCGCCTCATCCCATGGACCCGCCCAGGCTCTCTCACATGATGCAGAAACAGCAGCATCTCCACCTCTGCCAGCCGCCTCCCCAGACACTGGCGCACCCCAAAGCCAAAAGCCAGGTGGCGGAAGCTCTGCCTGCTGTCCAGCCAGCGTTCAGGGTGATATTGCTCTGGACTCAGGAACACCGCAGGATTTCGGCCCATCGAGTACAGACACAAGTGGACCAAGGTCTGCAGCCAGGGCCAGAGGGGGGTGTCAACTGCCTGAGGGGCAGCTTGCCAATGGCTCCCCCCAGTGGGGGACTCACTCACCCCAGCTGGAATGAGGTAGTTGTTAAGCACCAAGTCTGAGCTCAGTATCCTCTCCAGAAAAGC